TCATTTTGCAAAAAAAAAAAAAAAAGAAGAAGAAGAAGCGCAATAAAAACCAAGAAATAGTTGAAATATCGAAATATGAACGATCGAAATAGAATTGAAAAATGGAGGAAAGAAAAAAGCGAAAAAATCGAATTGAGCCAACGTTTGCGACATTGCATATCGCATTAAATGCAAACGAGTTACACGAAAAAAGGATGAAGAAAGAATTTAAAATACAAATAGAACGGTGGAAACATGGCCACGGTTAATCAATGTTTCGTTTGCAACTGGTTATTTGAATTTCGTTTACGTACGATCGTTCGCCCTCTTAATTTATCGATTCCAATTCGTTTCTTCCCTTTATTTTCTTCCCTCCCTATGTTGTTCTTCAACACGGTTTTTTCCGTTTATTTTACCGCTTAATGCTCGATCAGCTTTTCCAGAATACGAGCAATGGTTATATTATTAATTTCCAGAACAGGAATTTTTCATCATTTTCCCGAAGGGTTACTTTAAACTCTACTCTATCGTTCGATCAATTTTCAATAAAATAAATACGAATTAAGATTATTCGAATTTACCGTACTTTCCGGAATGGAAAATTTTGGCCAGATTTAGGATGTAAGAGGCGACTACGCACGTTCGACAAGTGTTAACGCGATGTTTAATAACTATCCTGACACGTTGACAAAGAGATGGAAACATTTCATTGAATATGATCTTTTGATTGAAAAATGGTTTGTATGTTTGCCACTCCTCCCTTGTCGTTTGCTGGAAATATCAAAGGTATTGTAGAAGGTGAGCTTACTTCGAGAGGGAAAGTAAATATCCAATTATATTAATATCCGATTAACCTTCATCCCGGCGAACGATATCTGCACAAACGGATTGATATTCTCGTAATCACTTTTCATACAGAAACTGCTCATGTCTGGCAAACCGTCGGCCCGATAAATCGTAAAAATGTACAAAGCTCGTTGCCTGTAGGCTACAAATTCGCCACCGACCGGCAGCAAGAGGTTCCTGTAATTATATTCGATTTCCATTAATCGGCCTTCGCGAGCGAGCCCGTGCATTTCGAGTCGGAGGCAATTCCCGAATCGATTTCGTAACACGCGTCGCGTGTGAACATCGTGTAACGTTTAAAAAAAAGGGGTGTCTGTGTGTATTCCATCATCGAGAGAAGGCTGGCAATATGTATGTAAATGAACGGTTAAGAGTTAAAATTTATAGATCGAGAACATTGAGAATTTTGAAATCTATGCAAAATATCAAATATGATCTTCGATTTTTTTTTTTTTTTATTTTATTACAATCGATATTCGATTTGGGATTGAAAAAATGGACGATTCAAATTCGACGAGTATTTGAGAATTTTTTTTTTTTTTCCGATTAATTTTAAACATAATTTTATACGAGTGTGATGTGAAATAACGGTTTAAAATGTACGTTGGAAATAAGACGCGACGGTGTGTGAAAAAGAAGAAGAATTTTGAATTTTAATGCAATAAATATTAGAGCACTTTTTGATGGGGTTGCGTTAAAGTTCGTCGGGCCAGGTATCGATTATGACGAACAATATTAGCGTCCGGTAAAAGGTCCAGTAATTTTTAATTTGATTCGCGAAACACGTCCAAAGTTTCTTCCTCCATTAGAAAGTTCTTAATATCTTGTAATTAATAAGTACTATCACTCAGGTAACAGTATGTTTTAAAGTAAAAGAAAAAATAAAATTACCCCTCGATGTCGTCCTCGCCCTCTGTCTCCGGATGCACTTTCATTTTCTCTCCCTTTACATTAATCGCTATATTACATTTAACGTAGCCTTTCGGCCCCGCTGAAAGATCCTTCGGATTTGTCAACATTGCCCATTTGTGAAAATAATGACGATCTGTATCGATTTTAATCCATCTTATCATTCAATAAATTTTATATCAGAATCGATCAATTTAATCATCAGTAAACCGAAGAATTGAATTGAATAATTTTACGCATCACCTGGTTGATCCCACACCAGAGCAACTTCGAAAATCGCGTTTCCGTGAAATTTGTAACACAGAAAACTTTTCACGTACACGGTTATCATAATTTTAGTGCTCAAAAGTTCGTCTAAGTCGCATAAAAGATCGAACACGAAGTACTGCAAGTACAATTTAAAGAATTTAATAAATAGGGAAGAATTCGGGGGAAGTTTCTTCGGAACGAGGAATTTTTTTCAATTTCACCTCATTGAAGATCGGAGAGTCCGTTTTCTTGCGAATCACGGTCTTTCTCTTCTTCTTTCCCACTCTAACCACCACCCTTGAATTTGCATTTTGGGGTAAATGTCTCGCTTTCAGAATATTTACGCAAACCTGATAAACATTTTGACGATATTTCCTGGGGCTCATCGCGTTTCGATATACTCGATTGTTTGTAGTGCACTTCTCCCTATTTGACGTATCGTCTGTTTGTTTGACAAATTTCATAGGATTATTTGCGTATAGTTAATTAATAATATATTCGATTTTGATTTTACTATCGTTTGATTTTATATCTCCAAAAAAATAAAACCAAAAAATATTTAAATCGGATTATATTTCTTTTTCTTTTTCTTCTTTTTAGCGAATTTATTCGATAACAAGAAATTCTAAAATTAATCGATTCAATAGAAAGATATTATTAAAAGTGCAAAAATATGTACGAGAGGGTAAGAAAAATTCCTGTATTATTTCAATATAATAATCAATAATCACGATAATTTATAAATTTTTTTTATTTTCAATTTTTATGATTAAATTAATAATAATTATTTGTCACATATCAAACGATAATATCAAAACGATAAATTTTAATAATAAATTATTTATAAAATCGATAAATATAATAAATTAAAAATTTATAAATTATTATACATAAGTAATTTTTATTATAAAGTTAATAAATTAATCGTATAAGATTGAAAATTGTAAAATCGAAATATTTCACACTTAAGAAATATTAGTAAATATTTGATTTGCGTCGTTATCGGCGCGTGTCTTTACCCGTCGAACGACTTACCGAGTGGGGATAGAGCACAGTTCCGCTTCGACCGGGGTCGTGTTTACACGCGTTGGTATTGCGCACGTCGATTTTCAATATAATTTTAAATCGTGCATAATTTTTGCTTCTAAAATACACACGTTTTATTTATGAGTGTCTAAAATATATATATTCGCGTGTGTTTAAAGTGCATGTATTTTTTTTGCGAGTATTTATAGTATATATGTGATTATTTACGACTGTGACGATATTGCGCATTTTATTCGCGGTGAGAAGATACATTTCGTTGTCGTGGACAGAAGGAGGCTATTGAATTATCGGTGTGACAGTGTTATCTATAAATGTTAAGGATATTTCTTCACAAACTCCAAAAGCAGAGTAAGTTAATGTAACAATTAAGGAATAGTTAAGGAGTAGCGCCATTTTTTAAGTGCCTTTAGAGAAATGTATTTGACACGTAAAAGATGGCGTTGATAGTCAATTCTTGCTCTATTTCTGTCTTTCTCCCACTGTTTCCTATCTTTGTCTGTTAGTTTCTTTATTAATTTCATTTATGGCATTCTAGAGATGGCGCTAATTTCGCAATTTTTAATATATCTTCATCATTCTCTCACTATTTACTTTCTTTATCTATATAGATTTATTTAACCCTTTTATTAATTTCTTTTTTATATTTTAAGTCTTTATTTAATTTTTTGTTATACATTTCTTATTCTATTTTAGAATTTTTTAATTACTTATTTCTTAAATTAATTTTTATAATGTATCTTTATAATTTATTTTTGCAGATATTATTTTAGAAGACCTTCGTAAGATGTTCATAGTCATCGTAGAATATTGCGTCCTTTTGCTTCGTAACAACGTTTTTGTTTTCATCTAATGGTGAGTCATTGTATTTTTGTTTTTCTGATGATTGGTCGTTTGGAAACTTTGTTTTTCTGATGGTTGGTCGTTTGGAAGCATGGAATTTTATTTTTCACGAATATATTGTTTCAACTATTATTTAATTATTGGATTTTCATAAATTTAATAGGTAATTTGAATATAATTTTTAATGTTGTCGTTTAAATTTTATTTTTGCGTATTTCTTAATATTTCATAGAATATTAAATCTCATAACATAACGATAAGTCTCTGTATAAACCACTCTCGGTAATTTCAAGTCCTAAAAATTCTGTCAGTATAACAGTAGGTAAAACAGTAAAGCAGAAATTGATCTTTCATTCTGTTTTATCGACATTATTATTGATCCTTTACCAACTGTTATAAATATTTTAATACATTCGTGTCCATAAAATTTTGCAGTTACACGAAAGTTTCGATATAAAATTCGAATTTTCACCGTTCTTATTATAAATTTTCTCGAACGTGTTAAAAAAAATCATCCATCGAAGCGTTCATGGTAATCATAAATCTGCAGAATTGCATTGCCCCCAAGAGCGTTCGTTGCGTCGAATTTAACGCTGACTTTTCTAAAGTAATTTTTCCTGTTTATTGAACCGAATAATCGAATAAATCCAATTAAAGCGATCCCATACAATTTTCGTAAAAATCTTCTATCTGGCGTACAAAAAAAAAAAAAACTCCATCGAATTTTATCGTATCAAGGGAAAAATCAATAAATCGTACTATTCTGTTCTTTGAAAAATAAATTAAATCAAATAAATTAAAATCGTGATAATCGTAAATAATCTTAGCGTTTTAATATCGTGAGAAATAACACGTGATTTCTAATATTTATACACGATTTCCTCTCGAACGAATTGAACGGGAACTTTTCTCTACCAGCTACTTCATGTTACCGGCCTGAACTGTCAGATACAAGTGTGTACTTCACACGTCAATTTGCGTACCGGTGTGTAAATAAAAATGATGGCGCGCTTCAATTTATTCCCCTGATTATCACAGCAACGACTATCGATCAGCGAATCGAAATTAGTCCACGAGTTTCGCGGCGATCATACCGCAACTCGTACCGTTTAATGAATTATAGATTCGCCTTCTGAATAATTCAGCGACAATCGATTAACCGAACGATAAACCGATTTTATGAAAAAATTATGAAAATATAGAATTTTATTAAGGGGACATGAACGAATACATCGATTCGAATTATAACGAAGAAAATCAATTTTTAACAAGAGCAAGATACGAAGAACAAAATATTCAAGCACTTCAATTAAACCTGTAAGAACAACCTGATTTACAACCACCCTCTTACTTAGCGTTCCAACGAGGATGAATTAAACATAATAATTCACGTAATCGAGAAAAATTTGAAACAATATATTTGAAATGAAAGAAAGAAAATTACTGGAGGAAAAAAAAACCACATACAGGATCCAATCCAAAAAAAAAAGTCACATCGTCCAAGATGTCTCTTCACCTCACTCGCGAGGAAACGTGGTGTAATAATGGCATAATAATCGCGTTCATCTTCCTGTCGAACGACGCAATTTCCCTCCAAACGATCGAGTCGCGTATAAACTTTTCCTCTAATGGAGCGGTATCGATGACACGCGTCGTGGACAGCCTGCAAGGATAAAAACGTCACGTCGTTTCGATGGACCCCCGGCACGGCCCAGGTTTTCTCTATGGGGCGTGGTGCACGAAAGAGAAACGCGCGGAATATCGTATGGGGCGTGCACGCGCAATTCAGAAGCTATTATAGGCACGCGGTTTATTTCGACACGTGTCTTTACGCGGATCCCCGCCGTTCCTGAGCACTCGGCATTCGGCGTGTCGCCGCAAATCGCGCCATGCATTTTCGCTAATTGTACCCGGCCGGTGATTTATCGAGGGTGGCGAGCGATCGGGACTTTTAGGAATGAGAATCCTAACGCTTCTAACCTCTCGAATTTCCATCTAAATTTTCTATTTCGATAGACAAGAGATCCTCCTGCTACAATTCCCGTTCACCGTTCGTTTCCATTCTCTTAGATCGTTTCGGTGAGAGGAGATTCGAAGAAGAGTTTTTTCGATTTTACGCGTACATTTTGCATTTATTGATTTTGTCCTAAATTTCCTACCTCTATTTCGAAGATAGATTCATTGAACGTCGTAACTTTCCTCTTCGAAACGAAAATTACGATTCTTAGAAGAAAATACTTTAGAAATCGTGTGAACCCTTCGACGAGTACCTATAATCCGCGACACGAAATTATCGCGCTAACTAGCACTAGATTCGACGACAGCATCGAACCAACGGACGAATAAAAAAACCAACGGAACAAAAGAAGAGAAAGAGAAAGGAAAAGAAAAGAAAGCGACCCTTGTGAATAGAGGAAAGAAGAAGCAAGATGGAAAGGGAG